AATCTAGAATTATGAATCAAACCCTGGAATTCTGACAAATATTCCTCCATTTATCAAATAACTGAAGAGGTGGAACGTTCAGTATTCCAACAGATCAAAACCCACTTAATGGGCACAACACTGGACAGACTGAATGGATCAGGGCAACAAATGCATTGAGCAGAGTAAGAATGTGGGTCAATGGAGGCACTTGTCTGTCATTCATTCACTCACTCACTCACTCACTCATCCATCCATCCATCCATTCATTCATTCATTCATTCATGAGGCTCTTTATCAAATTAGGTTGCTGAACGGAGCATTGTTTCAGTGTAGGTCACATCGTGAAGTCCACGCCGCTCGGTTTCCACCGCTGCCACAGACGCTGTCATTCATTTAAAAACTGCAGTTGCTGCCGAAACTGTTTAATTTGAGCCTTTTGTTATTTCACCCTGGGTCAGAGTCTGATGTCCATACGTGCCGGAGCGTCACGTTGCCCCCGTTAAGTCAAATAATTAAGTTATCCAGTGTCACACAGGCAATCATTCATGCAGGATTTCTGTAGAGAAAAGACTACGGAGCTGCGTGAGCGCAGCATCATCTGTGCATGTGTGCTGTTTTTTTCCTCTTTTTTTTTCTTTGCTTTATCCCACTTCCTTTTCCACCCATTTCTGGCCGTCGCTCTCTTCTCCTGCCGTCTGTGATGGGAATACTGAGTAAGATGCTATTTAATTTACAAAAAAAAGGGGTTGCTGATGGTCTTTGTAAGCCAGGCGGCAGCCAAAAAAGGGGGGGTGAACAAAAAAAAATTCCCAATTCACACTTGTTTAACGGGTCCGTGTCCCTGTCATGTAGCGAAAAGAAGACGTTCTTTTTTTTTAGCAGGACATATGTTGGACTGATTTGTATGCAGGGTGAGCGTGTTGGACGCCTCACAAATTGTGTCTCCTCTTCAGAAACGTACAGTCAATACAAGGCAGTGATTTTTAAAGAAGTACTACATCTCTGCTGTATATTTGCCTTTTGCAAATTTAAGAATTTATTGTACAACACTATTTTAACATTATGACAATTCAATTCTCCTTGTTTATGGAAAATAAAAAGAGAGTTCTATTAACCCCCCGCCCCCACCTCCTCCCAACACTTTCACTGTGTCTTCAGAATGTTTTCTATTTTCTTCTCACAGTGATTATTTTGCTTGCTTGCTAACAGCAAAGTTCAACACTTGAGGCAATTTATACCTGCCATTACTACATGTACTTAACATGAAGTTTTTTCTGAGTCCAAAAAACCCATTACTTATTTTTGTGTTTTGTTTTGTTCTTTTTTCCAGGCCTAATCTTGTTTACAAATAAAGCTAAAAACACTGCGGAGCGGGGAAGGCGAGCCTCATGAGTCGGCCTCGCAAATTTGCATCTACACAATGGATTTAACTAAAATGGGCATGATCCAGCTCCAGAACCCCAACCACCCCACTGCCCTGCTGCAGAAGGCCAACCAGATGCGTCTGGCCGGGACTTTGTGCGACGTGGTCATCATGGTAGACAGTCAGGAGTTCCACGCCCACCGGACTGTGCTAGCCTGCACCAGCAAAATGTTCGAAATCCTCTTCCACCGCAGCAGCCAGCATTACACCCTGGACTTTCTTTCACCAAAGACTTTTCAGCAGATCTTGGAGTATGCTTACACTGCCACGCTACAGGCCAAGGTGGAGGACCTGGATGATCTTCTGTATGCTGCGGAGATCCTTGAAATTGAGTACTTGGAAGAGCAATGTCTGAAGATCCTGGAAACCATCCAGTCCTCTGATGAGAACGATGTCGAGGTCAATGCAAATGATGGAAGCACAGAGGAGGACGAGGAGCGCAAAGGCCACAATGGAGCCAAGAACTCTAAACACCATTCCAGTCCATATCTGTCAGGTAACCACCAGGCCTCCACCATGTCAGGCATGGTGGACCAGAGTCCCTCCGTCTCCACCTCCTTCAATGCCTCCACCCTCAGTCCCACCAAAGCTGCAGTGGACAGCCTGATGAGCATCGGCCAGTCTCTGCTCCAGCAAGGCTTTGGTGGCGAGCAGCTGATCCATGGCAACTCCCACCACCTGATGACAGAGATAAAGACTGAAATGATGCAGGTGGACATGGGAGGCAACGGCACCGACAGCCCTCAGAACATGGAGTCCAGTGTCTCCAGCAACGGAGAGCGCGGTGGGGAGGACAGGAACCGAGACGGACCGGGGACACCCACCAGGAGCAGCGTGATCACCAGCGCACGTGAGCTGCACTACGTCCGCGACGACGCCATGGGAGACCATCAGGCCGAAGTCAGTCAGATGGGACTGGAGGCGATGGCTGGAATGACGGAGAAGCACCTGGCCTCGCTCTATGCCCTGCCTATCAATCACAAATCGGACGCCATCATGTCCATGCCGGCATCCATGGCCTCGGCTCTGCCCATGTCCCCCGCCCTGGCCATGTCTATGGACTTCAGTGCCTATGGCAGCCTCCTGCCACAGAGCTTCATCCAGAGAGAGTTCTTCAACAAGCTCGGGGAGCTGGCGGTGGGCCTGAAGCCGGACGGCAGGCACCAGCACGAACGCTGCAACGTTTGTGGTGCAGAACTTCCAGATAACGAAGCTGTGGAGCAGCACAGGTAGGAGCAGTTTCCTTTTTCTTTTTTTTTTTTCTAAAACTCTCCTTTCCTTTAATTTTTCCGTCCTTGAAATTAACAGTCCTTTTCATCTCCTTTGAGAAGAGCTTCTTTATTTATTCCTTGAATAACTTTCTCAGCAAGGATTTTTCTTGCTTTGGTTTCCATTATGTGAATGCTGAAAGCATGTGTCACGGCCTCGGAACTTTAAAATCCGAACGACTCAGAGTTTGCACCTATCACTTACATTAGCTCTTTGTGTAACGGAGAGTCTATTTAGGCTCTCGAGATTTAAAAGCCACGTTTGGAGTACATCTTTTCAAAGGCTACAGATGGAATTCAATGTCTAGGTTTTACGCTTCATTAGGTAGATTTCTCCCGTTTTATGACACCATTTGATGGACACAGATCTTATTTCAACTCCATCTCTCCACCCACCGCTCCAATCATTTCCAGGCCCGCCCAGGTGACGGCCAACGCCGGGCTGTTGTAACATTGTCTAAGACAGTTAGTCACACCTTACAAAATGTGGGTGGCAGCTATAATGCACTTAACAAAGTGGTGGCCCCTTATCCTCAAGGACCCACCTCTATGAGACCCTCCCCCTCTGTCATAACTGCACAAGGGGGGCCCTTATTTTCCTGATAATTGGAGTAAGTAGTCACAGAACCTGAACTGAGACCAGGAGGTAATTCCCGGTCATGAACAGAGAGTGGCACTAAAACTGGAAAAGGTGTTTAATCACTGTTAAACATGGAATGTAGTCAGTCAAAGGTGTGTTCGGTGTAGCTCACTTAATCATGACAATAAATTCATTGAACAGACTGAAGTCTGAATTAAATTTAAATAGGTAATACAACAGAGTTCATTCATTATCCAAGAAAATTAATAAAAGATGTACAGTGCTGGAAATGTTTGTGAGCTTAGTACGGTGTTGTGGACTATTGTGGACTACTGTATAGTTGTACTACTTTGTGAGTTGTGCAGAGTCACTCTTTTTTTTTTTTTTTTTTTGCTTCCGCCTATAGGCCTTTACCTTTGCCTTGTAATGTTTGCTTTGATAGATAGGAATGCACATTGGTTAAAGTTCACATGAGGATTTGTACCCGGTCACCCATCACCTCCAGCTTTAGGCCAGTGTGTTTGTCTATGATGCTAAGACCTGGATTCACTCAGGCAGTTACTCAGTTTCTAATTCTGCCTTGTCTTCGTGGACCCCCTCCTCTTACTCTAAAAATACCTTTGCAGGTAATCAAAACGTTAGCACCAAAATGTTATCAAAAAATAGCCATGTTTTTTGTTAAAATAGTAAATGGAACAGTTACTAAATTAAAGGAAAAAACAAATCCAGCCTGAAAATGTTTTACCATTAGCGAGAAGCTAAGTTGGAAAAAGTAAAACGGTTACTAGTTAGTTGCAGAGTTAGTAGCATTAGCTCACCAAAAAGGTTATTTAAGTAAAACTGTAAGTTTGCTAATATACATTTGTAATACAATGGTTAAAGCTTAAAACATAAGCCTAAAAGATAGCTCAAACATTGTCAAGGGGTTAGCTTAAAATGCTAAAATTCTTCCAATAACATAACCAAAAACAATAGAAGTTAGAAAGAAGAAACATTTCAAAAGCGGCTTTAGACTGTGCTGTGTTGTCTGTGTTTAATGACACGCCGCACTTTTCTTTCTCAGTCTTTGCGATTTAAAAAAAAAAGAAAAAAAAGAAGAAGAAGTCTGTCTGCGTGTGAAAACGGTTGCCTGTGTTTCCAGAGGAATTTCATCAATCGGCTCAGGCTGGGAAATGTGGTATCAAAGGAGATTTCCAAACTGTTTCAGGCATTGATCTTCCTGCTTGGCCCTGCAGAATACTAATGTGTTAATTCAGGGCTGGCTGGTACACTGACACCACACTCTTTTCATATTGTGCGTGCCGTCCCCAAAAACACCAGTTAAGTGCGGGAATCAAACGTTGCATCATTAACTGCTTGCCTTTGCTTTGCTGTGATCCATACATGAAAGATCTGCCGTCAGACGTCGGGTAATCCAGACGCTGCCCTTGACCACAGACTTTTTTACACTGACACTGTGTTTTATAGCAGATTATGGAGGGAAATGGAGCCCACACACCAATTTTGTAAACATTTTTGAATCCCTACTTTTTCTCAAAGCTTTAGTAATATTGCATATGTTTGAAAAAAATTCTTTAGTAATATTGCATATGTTTGAAAACAATTAAGAGACGATTGTGAAAGGTTCCTGAGATAGTTGTCGATCTCTCCTAACTATCCTGATTCTCTAGTAATTTAATAATTTAAGGAAACATGTCGGAATTCTTGAAAATATAAATTTATACCTTTATCCTGTCAAACCGCTGATTCTTTTTGACATAAATGAACAATGTTTTATTTTACGTGGGCAAAGTAATGATCTCGGAGTGATTACACATCGTGTGTGTGTGTGTGTGAGGGTCACCCATCATCTCTGCAACAAACATAAAAAAAATCAAAAAGTGCACGCAGGTCAAGTCAAACATGAGTGTAACTGTTTGCAGATGTGGTGCAGGTCAGCGGTGTGACTGAGGTGTTTGTGTGTGTCCCCATGAGTGTGTATGTGTGTGTGTGTGCGTATATCCATGTGCCACAAAGTAGCAACTTCCTGTATAAATTTGGTCTTTGCTCCCTTTCATTCCTCTGTGCTCCTGGATTATATCATATAAAAACACCCACCAAGACTGAACGCATTGTCCACCAGACACACAAGTGCTCTGTGAGCACTGACCTGCGGGACAGAGGGTTAGACTGTGTGAGACACAAGATGACACAAGGGACTTAAAGTAACCAATGGTTGGTTAATACAGTAGCTTAGCTTACCTAGCTAAAACTTAGCAAAGAAACGACAAAGTTATCGTGGTGATAAAATGTTGAAATCTTGCCAGGAGGTATATAATCAGCTGAAGATAAACAGCGTAGAACAGAATAATAAAAGTTAGCCTTAAGTAACCTTTGAAAAGAACCTAAATAAAGCCAGATAAATATTATTTTACCGAGATAATGTTCACAATGAATCCCAAAATAAAACCAAAAACAACACAAAAAATAGTCTATGAATAAAGCAAAGGAGCTAGCTAAAACTCAGCCAGTTAAACGGCTAAAGGTTAGCCAGGGATATATGTCCAAGTCAGCCACAAAGAATTAGCTGTACCTAAGATGCTAACTTAGCTAAGGATTTTTTAACCTTACCCAAAATAGAAAACGGAAAAATAACATTTTAAATCAAGCCTAGAATGATGCTAATCTATACGTAAAAATCATAGCTATTAAGAATTCATGAAGACATTGACATTAGCTAGGAGAAAATTTAGATAAAAATGACATTAAAATTATATCTAATATTCTTAAATTAATTCAGGAGAAAAAAATCCAAACAAACAACTATTGGAAATAAGTTGGAAACTAATATGTGTAGATCTTTTCTGGCCTCACTTCAGACGGCAGCTTATATTTAGGAACATGGTTCTCTAAATTTACTGGTCGTGCATCAACTCCCGTATTTGATCATTGGGAAATGATATAGAGCCCACGTCACTCCTCCAATGAAATGCATGAAACGAAATAAAGGAGCCAGACTTTATGGGCACCTGAGGGTCAGTTTAGTCAATCTAAACTTTCTCCCTCAGCCGTCTGCAGCAGCAGCAGCAACACTTCCCCGCTGACAAGCCTCAGATTTATTCCTTAGAGGAAGTTCCCAGGCGAGTGCTGCTGAAGCTTCAGGGAGCTGGGATTACAGCAATATTTTAGTAACCTCCTGCACTGAGGAAATAATCAACACACACACGAGCACGGTGAAAGGTCTGAGTGATTATTGGGTAAAAAAAATATATAAATAAATAAATGCACGATGTAGAAAAAAGAGGAGGAGGCGGCTAATTCTGCAAAGGCAAGTGAAGGAATTAAAAAAAGGAAACACTTGACTGCTTGGTATTCCAAACACAACATCCAATTCACAGGAACTAGCCTTGGGTTTATCTCTTTCACTTAATCGTCCATTCTCATGCAAATGGCCGACCCTGGCTGTAATGTACATCACATAAGTGAAAAAAAGAGTCTGTTTTAGCAGAAGAAAAGAGCAGCTTTTTCCGACATATAACCGTTAACCATCAGTGAAAACCAATCAATGCTTTAACTCCGGCCTTTTCTCTGCACAGACAAGTTTCTTTTTGATAGACACTGAATAGAAGGACACGGCCGAGGCCCGTTGATGACTCGTCCTCTGCCACCTCCACTTTTAATAAGGTTACTTGTAATTTTAAATTATGACACTTATGTCACGGCCTACAGTGAATCATTTCCTTTTACGAAATTCAGAAAAGTTATTCACTTTCTTCAGATTTGTGATTTATCTTAAACTGTTGGTCAAATTATAAAGTTAGTTTACGCTTCATTATTGCATCATTATTGCGACAAAAAGACTAAAATATGACATGATATTTTTTTTGTCAAAAAAGCAACATGTCCAGATAATCAGAAAAAAATGACCTAATTTAACTTGTGTGTACTGTAGGTGAGTTTTAAAACACAATTTCCAGAAAAAAATGACCTAATTTAACTTGTAGGTGAGTTTTAAAACACTATGTTTTGGAAAGATTTGTTTATTTCTGTTGGGGTGTTTACAGAAAAAGTACATAACTCTTTAGCTCAATTTCCACATTCTAAAAAAAAACCAAGTATGAATTCATTAATCAGGATTTGTAGTTTTGGCTTTAGATGACATTTTGAGGGAAAAAAAATATTTTTTTTACATGGATTGAATACAAGTCAGAAGCCTGATTAAAATAATCCTCTTGCAGCAGCAGTCAATTCCCAGTTCCCATTTCCTTTTCTTTTGTCAAAAAAAAGGGTGAGTGGGTGGGGGGGTGCGTTTTCTAATACCCTGGGCCCCAGGTGTTTAAACAGCGGGCCGTGGGCTCTTATCTGTGCATATCAGCGAAGGCCAGATAACCCTGGGCACTCC